GATAAAGCGGAGTTCCCCGACTGCACATGCTGGTGCGCGTTTGCCCACTGCCCATTGTAAGATTCCGGTTGCTCTCCTTAATGCTTCCACCACGATTGGTGAGACCTTCGCCGGTTATGCGGAAACGTGAGTCCAATTAAACCTGTGGCCTTGTATAGATTACCTGGAGCTTCAGATAGTCGTATTAGCAGAAGGGACAACAGGACTGGAATACATTTAGCTTATTGACGAAATCTTCGCTGAAATCTTGCTATCATTTGTTTCAGTCCTGCTAGGATTGTGGCCAGCTCATAGACTTCAGAGCATTTTGAGGTTCCTAGACCTTTTTAAAATGCCGGCACCACTCCTGGAGCGTTGTGTGTCGATGTAATATGCTGTTGCTCAACCTTGAACTGGATCGCAATTTAAAGGGCATATTGCCGCAGAGGCCTATAGCCTTACTTACTTCAACCACCCTCCTTCATCGAGGTGCACTCTTTCAGGAGTACCGCATTTTGTTTGGGTGTATAGATCATGGTAGTGTATGTATATGGTCTCTTTAGTTATTTACAGTGTGTGTTGTGTGGTGTGGTGGGGGGAGTGAGCACAGTGTGTGTGATGCGCGGAAGAGGATGAGAGCGGGCGGGTTTCAGCGGGTGTGCGAGAGAGACGCGCTCTGTAAGGCCTGAAGGATTAACACAGCTCTGTTCAGGATGATTTGCTAGGAATAAGTGTGTGTGTTGTGTTGTTTATTTTGTGTGATATATGTGGTGTGTTCTGTGTTGGGGTCGGGTCTGGTAAAGTGTGTTTCCGGTGTCCCGCTCTCGCTCTCTCTTTTCAATTTGTTTCCGTTGTGGCTTTATCTCGCTGGGCATTTGCTTGCGGTCTCCTGTAGTTTCGTGGCGCCTGTGGCGATGCTTTCGTTTCTAGGCGTGCGTCTTGCTCCGTGTGCTTCTCGCGTTCGTCCTTGAGGTGTTCGTTTCTTCGTAGGTTCTGCGAGGGTTCCATGCAGCGGGAGGAGCACAGAAGTTTGCACGGTATGCTTGTGGGTGTGACGATAAAGGACGAGAGAGAGGTGTGGTGTGGGTTTGAGACGGAGTCTCGCGCTCTGCGCCCAGGCTGGAGGTGCAGGTTGGCCGGATCTCAGCTCACTGCAGCTCCGCCGCCCGGGGTTAAGCCATGTTCTCCTGCGCTCAGCCTCGCCGGAGTAGCGTTGGGACTACAGGCGCGGCCAGCCGGGTCGCGCCGGCTAGTTAGTTTTTGTGTTTTTTTGTATTTTTTAGTAGAGACGGGGTTTCACCGTGTTAGCCAGGATGATCTTGAGCTCCTGACCTCGTGATCCGCCCATCTCAGCCTCCCAAAGTGCTGGGATTACAGGCTTGAGCCACCGCGCCCGGCCAAAACAGGAATTTTTTTAGTAAATTAAGTCACATTGGTTATGCAGCTGCCAGAATGAGCCAATATTTATGAAAATGCTGGGAAGTTATACTATATTCATACTGTGCATAAACAAACAAGTCTATCCATTATGATATGACCAGTACCTGTACAGAGAAGCTTCCATATTGAAGCAGCTCTAATCCTACAGAATTACCATGTTTAAGAGTAACTACTATTGTGCCTAATAATTAGTGAACATTTGTGTTTCTCTTAATATTAGGAACAACAAAACCATATCCTGCTGATATTGTAGTTCAGTTCAAGGATGTATATGCACTGATGGGCCAAAATGTGACCTTAGAATGTTTTGCACTTGGAAAGTAAGTATACTGACACTTTCATTAATATATATAGAAATAGTACCATTTTAGGAAATAAATAATTGTTTAGCTGTAAACATAAAGTAATTGTCTTTTAAGTGTGTGAAACTTTAGCACTGGTATCTTCTGTTTAAAGTCCTGTTCCGGATATCCGATGGCGGAAGGTTCTAGAACCAATGCCAAGCACTGCTGAGATTAGCACCTCTGGGGCTGTTCTTAAGATCTTCAATATTCAGCTAGAAGATGAAGGCATCTATGAATGTGAGGCTGAGAACATTAGAGGAAAGGATAAACATCAAGCAAGAATTTATGTTCAAGGTAGATATATTATTTTAATTTTGTATAAATTTCATCAATATCTTATTTAAAACCATTTCCATACTTGAAAAACTACTATATAATGATTAATAGTTTTAACAACAGTGATGTATGTTACATCATGGAGAAAGATAAAATATTTCTCATATGTCTAATGAAGTCACAACTATGAGTTATAGAATTTATGAACTTATTACCAATTGAACCATAGGTAATAGCAATGGATCAATAGAAATGTTATTGGTAATTTTCAGAATATACACTTAATGTAGTTTGTTTACTCATGTTATCACTGTCTTTTTTCAGTATCTTTTTATTTATAGAAGAAGCTATATGTTATGACTTAAGTCAGTGGTTTGCAAACTTAAGCATGCATCAACATCAAATGGAGGGCTTGTTAAAACACGGATTGCTGGGCCAAACTCTCAGAATTTTTAATTCAGAGGTCTGTTAAGGGTTCATGAATTTGTATTTTTAACAAATTCCCAAAGGATGCTGCTACTATTGGTCCTGAAGCCACACTTTGAGAACCACTGGTCTAAGGAATCTTTTTTTTTTTTTTTTTTTGACAAAATTATCTTGGCACAAACCTTTCATTTTCACACATTAAAATAAACTTACATTTGGGAAGAGAGATTTTTTTTCAGGCCACATTGGAAACTTTCCAGACTGAAACTATAATGTTCCACAACATGAACCTCGCAGGTCACAACTAAAGAAACATGGAGGGCTTCCACAGGATTATTCATTTTTAACTCTGGCTACTGTCCCATTTCACTTTCTCCTGTCTCTCCCAAAAAGGAATAAAAAATTTGACAGATTCACCCATACTCTCTAAAAGTGTTGTTTCCATCTCCAGTTTTTCTTCTCTCTTAAATGCACTCCAACATGATTTACATCTCTACCTCTCCACAGAAACCTTTCTTTTCATCATCACAGACTTCCATATTGCTAAAGCTAACGATCAATTCTCAGTTGTACTTGTTTGATCTAACAGCAGTGGTGGTCACAGTTGGTCCCTCCCTTCTTCATGATTCACTTTCTGTGCTTCATGTCTGCAACCCACTTTGTTATTCATTTCCTTGTATCATCTTTCATTCTCCATTGCCTTTCAACTCCATACCTTTCTAACATTGGCGTGATCAGGGTTCCATCTGTGAACCCCATCTCCATTTCAGTCACTCCCTTTATGATCCCATTCATGATCATGGCTTTAGACACACTCTATACCCTGAATGCTCTAACCCAAACATTTACGCTGAACTTCAGACTTGTATATCCAATGCCACAGTAATGTTAATGTGATAAATATCAAGTGTGCATGAAATGGCCTCCTGAAAGGAAGAAAATTCTAGGTAAGATCCTTTAAACTTTTGAAGTAAATCCACCACTTTCTACTAGGTTTCTAAAGCTTATAGACCTGTTTTTATTCAACATATTAAGAAAACTACACTCCAGGTTCTCAACAGAGTAGTATTTTGAACTGTCTAATATCTAAAGCCTTAGAAGAACCAAGGTGACAGAGCACGTATTTATAGCAGGTAATTTAAGATAAATGTCATTTATTCTTTACTAATGCAGCATACTAAGTATTATCTTTAGGTCTGATCACATCACTAGAAGGTTACATAATTAAGCCATATATAGAATGTGTCAATCCAGTTCAATTATTCATTACATGATGTAATAGCAAATGTCTGTGTTGTCCATGTGAGGCCAAGACAGGAAGGGTGCTGAAATTCCTGTATTATATATTGCTAAGATTGTATACAAAATAAAACATCTCTCAATTAACATGAACATATCCACCAATATTTTAAAAAATATCTCCCTATGTTACAGACAAATGTAATGATAAGTGAAAACATGTATTAAATGAGATTATATATGCTGTAAAATATATAGGTGTACATATGTCTACATGTATAATGTATACATTATAATGTATATTGTTGGTATTTGGTGACATAAAAATGTTTTCTAGTTTTCAAATTTCTAGTATTTTATTATTCGTCAAATGCTTTTTATAAGATGTATATATTGCTTTTGCCATAAAACTAACACAAGTTCCCAGTTTCAAAGAAAATTAAATATTATTCTCCACTCAGGATTCTTTCCTACTATTTCCCTTTTATTTTATATTAATTTATTTATCTGCATTTATTTGGACTAGATAACTGAAATAATCAAAAAGACTGTCAAATTGTTTACTTGCTTGTTCTCTAGAAATATTTTTTTCTTTGGAAAAATTTTAGCATTTTCTCATTTTTATGGATGTTTCTTTAGGTATAAAGTAGATCAGATTAAAGAATGAGACTGAGTTCAATTTTACTAATGCATGGATTTCACCAATAATAGCTACTGTATATAGTTTCTAATATGGAAAGAGTACATTTAGGTGTCCAAGTCATTTTTCTAGCACCACAGTAAGATGTTACAGTGGCCACTAGCTGAAAGTTCCATCAAAATGAAGATACTGTATACCTGAGGGAGTGGGAAAAAAATCTGAGTCTTTAAACAAAATGTTGAGAGATGGTGTCATATTGAATTGAGATGTAATTCTTTAAAACCTCAATTGTCATTTTTACAGACTTGAAAGGTTTATGTTATGAGCAGAAAAAGTCAATTATTTTAGTACTAATTATAACTCAACTTTTCAACAAAACATGATTTACAAATGGAAAAATAATGAGTTATAGTTACCTCCTGCTATAATAACACAGGATTTGCATAGGTTAAACCTATGAAAAGACAAGGCCTATTACTGAATTCGGGATACCTACACTATCTGATGTATTCTGCAGAATTAGTTTAACTAAATGTAATATTTATACTCTGGAGATTATGATGGATCTTGAGACTTTGATTTAACATTTACAATGTTCCTTACTTTTTAGCATTCCCTGAGTGGGTAGAACATATCAATGACACAGAGGTGGACATAGGCAGTGACCTCTACTGGCCTTGTGTGGCCACAGGGAAGCCCATCCCTACAATCCGATGGCTGAAAAATGGATATGCGGTATGTATGTTCAAGTGCTTTGCTGTTCCTGAGTCCCTGTTCAAGCAGTGTTTCAGGGTAGTCCTGGGATACATTTAGCAGGAGAGACAATAGAGAAAGGGTACTTGGGCCCTGAAATATAAAAGCTTCTGAAAAAAGACAAACAAAAACTGAACATAAAGTATCTTCTTTCAGTTTAAACAACTTTCTGTAATCTTACTCTACCTTCTTTCTCTCTCTCTCCTTATTTTTTCCTTTGTTCCACTTTTCCACCCTCTTCCTACTCATCCATCTCCAATACCTGATATTGTCCTCTTTTTCTTGCCACTATTTTCCTGTACCCCACAGAGACAGAGGTAAGAGTGAAGCTCTAGGTCCTACCTTTGGCCCTGGGGACAAGTAGCAGCAGTGGGATTCTTCTCAACCTTCCCACTGTAATCTCCCAGCTGGTCCAAGAGGGGAAAAGGTGGACTCTCAGCTCTGTAGGATGAATAGAACAAGAGCCTTTGGGCATGGTAAGTGGGTTTTCCTTTCCCATGCCGTGAAAATCCCACTTAGTTCATCTTAGGTAACAGTGGGGGCAGATGAACATAATGTATCTAAATTAAAAGACAACAAGCCCAGACCTAAGTGAAAGTATTTCTATTAAAGTCCATTAAGAATATGTTTCAATTTTATTCTTTTCAGTATCATAAAGGGGAATTAAGACTGTATGATGTGACTTTTGAAAATGCCGGAATGTATCAGTGCATAGCTGAAAACACATACGGAGCCATTTATGCAAATGCTGAGTTGAAGATCCTGGGTCAGTATCATTTCTAATTTCTGTTAAACATTCATCAAGAAAGTGACATAGTAAAAAAGATGCCGGCGTATCCATAGATCACATTTGATTTCACATTACATTCTTTTTTTTTTTTTTTTTTTTTTTTTGAGACGGAGTCTCGCTCTGCCGCCCAGGCTGGAGTGCAGTGGCCGGATGTCGGCTCACTGCAAGCTCCGCCTCCCGGGTTCACGCCATTCTCCTGCCTCAGCCTCCCGAGTAGCTGGGACTATAGGCGCCGGCCACCTCGCCCGGCTAGTTTTTTTTGTATTTTTTAGTAGAGACGGGGTTTCACCGTGTTAGCCAGGATGATCTTGAGCTCCTGACCTCGTGATCCGCCCATCTCAGCCTCCCAAAGTGCTGGGATTACAGGCTTGAGCCACCGCGCCCGGCCAAAACAGGAATTTTTTTAGTAAATTAAGTCACATTGGTTATGCAGCTGCCAGAATGAGCCAATATTTATGAAAATGCTGGGAAGTTATACTATATTCATACTGTGCATAAACAAACAAGTCTATCCATTATGATATGACCAGTACCTGTACAGAGAAGCTTCCATATTGAAGCAGCTCTAATCCTACAGAATTACCATGTTTAAGAGTAACTACTATTGTGCCTAATAATTAGTGAACATTTGTGTTTCTCTTAATATTAGGAACAACAAAACCATATCCTGCTGATATTGTAGTTCAGTTCAAGGATGTATATGCACTGATGGGCCAAAATGTGACCTTAGAATGTTTTGCACTTGGAAAGTAAGTATACTGACACTTTCATTAATATATATAGAAATAGTACCATTTTAGGAAATAAATAATTGTTTAGCTGTAAACATAAAGTAATTGTCTTTTAAGTGTGTGAAACTTTAGCACTGGTATCTTCTGTTTAAAGTCCTGTTCCGGATATCCGATGGCGGAAGGTTCTAGAACCAATGCCAAGCACTGCTGAGATTAGCACCTCTGGGGCTGTTCTTAAGATCTTCAATATTCAGCTAGAAGATGAAGGCATCTATGAATGTGAGGCTGAGAACATTAGAGGAAAGGATAAACATCAAGCAAGAATTTATGTTCAAGGTAGATATATTATTTTAATTTTGTATAAATTTCATCAATATCTTATTTAAAACCATTTCCATACTTGAAAAACTACTATATAATGATTAATAGTTTTAACAACAGTGATGTATGTTACATCATGGAGAAAGATAAAATATTTCTCATATGTCTAATGAAGTCACAACTATGAGTTATAGAATTTATGAACTTATTACCAATTGAACCATAGGTAATAGCAATGGATCAATAGAAATGTTATTGGTAATTTTCAGAATATACACTTAATGTAGTTTGTTTACTCATGTTATCACTGTCTTTTTTCAGTATCTTTTTATTTATAGAAGAAGCTATATGTTATGACTTAAGTCAGTGGTTTGCAAACTTAAGCATGCATCAACATCA